TTCCAATAGCGGTCGACGATTATGGAACTGTCAGTTTTATTAACTTAAGTTGTTGCTGGTGCTACCAATGCAATGTTCTTAAAATGAGGTATTTTCTTCGAAAATGAAAGCAAATAATTTGTTTTCCATACGTCAGATCCACTCATAGATCTGCACTGCATTGTCAAGCTGATTCCGGCAAATTTCTCTTTGGCAGTTCCCATTCTAGCGATGTTTATCTAGGTCGTCCTGCACAAAAAGCCCTACTCTTGACTACGTTGGGTTTCGTTTTAACTAATCTACAGAGTCAACGCCATTCAGTTGACTCTTTCTTGTATCCTATCTCTAAGACTACCCTAATAGAAACAAATATTCCTAAGAAACTGTTTGCACGTGCTAGAGGCGTCACTTCTAGCAACCAGGTTCAATTTGAGGCCTAAATCGTACAGATAGGGCTAAACGCGGCACAATGTCACGCGGATACGCTACCTGCAAGAGATTTGAAGGGAATTGAATTCTAGCTTAGCAGCTGGCCGAAAATCGCAAAAATGGAAAGCCTCGAAACGGCCAAAAGATCAAACGGTACAGAAGGTCTAACCGCTAATTTAGACAGTCTAATTAGAAACTGATATTACCTGTGAAACCGCAATACATTTCTGGAGCCATTTGAATACATTTTCAGTCCCTTCAAGTCTAAGCTCTATATCGTGGATCTTGCGGTTTGCCCCACGAAAGCCACCCTCGGATTTTTCCGAAATGTCATCGAAACTTTGAATGACATAAAGCGCCGATTTTGAATAAAAGAAGGTTGTTAGTATTAGTGAAGTACATACTATATGTAAAGATTGGATAATTACTAATTTTCGCTCAAGTTCTGCGCTTTTGTTCGATATGACAGGTTTGTTGTCTTATGCTAAAAATAATTGCTTTTGTCTACAACCAGGAGTAACGGATGAACGCATGCCCTTAACGACAACTAGCTTGTCAAAGCGTGTTTCAGTTTAGATGCCGCATTTCGCATATACCTATAAATGGAATTATATGGACTTAGGGGGCCTTTTGCATAAAAGTGTTTCATGGAAGCGTTTTTTGCCGTAGTCGCCGTTTCGTGAGCGCACCGCTAATGACATTGTGGCCGGTAGCAAATAGCCTGTTGGCCGTTTATCAACAGATGCCGACTGTGTGCGAAGAGCCAAACCTGAGCACATCTTATTCTGATCGAGTAACGCGCGCTGACCGACAGCAGTGGCGCGGGTTGTTAGTTTTCTGCATGACGGAATCGGGGACGAAGGAAACGCTACTGGACCATGAACATGGCGATGGCAGTGCTAAACAACAAACCCTAAAGAGACGTAGCCAAAATATGGCTATATAGATACTACACGGTTGCAAAGAGGCTGCTTTTTATGCAACAACGTATTTTTTAAGAATCCTTGCTCCTCCCGAAGCTAGCCTTGCGTATACTAGAGTCGCCGGGAAAATGAATATTACCATGAAGCTAATGCAGCCGTGTGTATCAGTCTGTGGCCCACGCCGTTCCGAACACCGCCATTTGTTACAAAGCGTTTCTGTGATTATGCTATTCCCTCGTACAGCTGTACCGAAGTACCATAATACGAAATACTAACATAAAACCGACTATATAAAGACAGAAGACGTTTGTCACAAGCAAAAATACGCTATAATTATGTACTACTAGGGTACCGGTGAGCCACACGTCGCTTCAGTTGCCCTAATTGTGGTAATAATCATGCGGACCCAGGGGGATGAGGGGTGTTATCCGAACTTTCAGGGAATGGGGTCACCTCACACGGCATCGGCATAGCACCAGCAATAGCCTGCATGCCTAGCCCAGAAAAGAAGCAACAGCCGAGTCATAACGGATCGTGCAGACGTGAGACATCCGACAAGAAGTCAAAATAACACTACAGGAATATTTGACAAACTGAGCTCTCATAACAAATATATTGGACGTCATTTTTTATGCCACGCATTAACGATGGATATATATATATATATATATATATATATATATATATATATATATATATATATATATATAAGGCAGACGCCTTCTATATGAGCTGTATATATTGAAAAAAGTATTATTCCAATAAGATGCCATTGAAAAGGTTCTGGACTGCGGAGTGACATTGAGGGAAGTCAATGCCACTAGATCAAACATGGTAACTGCATTATTATTGAGTTTAAATCAAATCAGACGAACACTTAGTTTGATGGAAAATGTTTTGCAGACACAATGAATGTACGAAACCTTGAAACCGCGCTAATATTTAAAAACATCGGTGTCGCCCACTAGCAGATCCTACTGGCACAATGAATTAAACGTAAAAGGAATATAATCACCTAAAACTTTGCAGGCTTCGGACATGGATCTACGAATATTCCTGCGTTTAACAGCTACGTAAAGCTGGTATCTTTGTCGATTGCAAGGGAATCGTAAATCTCTGATATACTGTAGCAAAAATCGAGATTTTTTTGTTTACGTTGCCTGGTGTGCTTTTCTCCACACAGATACAGAGCGTCCGGTTTTAACAATCATATTTTGAGCCTTCTAGACACTTAAAGGCGGATACGCCGAATGGCCGGGTTATCTACGATAATCAGCCGCCTTAAATAATCATCTACGAAACCGTGCGACAGTCTGGTCGCTCCAGGTAGCAAATCCCAGCCTTTGTAGGACTTTCAACTGGACTAACACCTGCAGATTTTAATGAGAGTACCTCAGATGTAATCCATATAGATTAGTAGTAGCTAAGGCATTAATCGAGCATACTGAAAGCACTGCTCCCCTGTTACATTTGACGTGACGGTGGCGTCAACAATGCTTGACCGTTTAGCAACTATAATACGTACGGCAGCACAGCGGTGAACAAGTGTACAGCTTCAAATAAGTCGTCTTATTATAGAGAAACGAAAAAGTACGGTCAAAAGCAACGCATAATGTCTCGAAATGCTGTTTACGTTACTGGAATAGATAGCTGCGAAAGGCTGCACGAGTCTTCCTGTAATGCCGGCTTCGAAACAGATCTTACGCGTTCGCTCAGACCGATAGCTATATGGTGCTTGATTTACCTTATCGTAACTCAAAACTGCTTGTTTGCTATAAACTGCAAAGGGTTAAGAGTCTTGGAAAAGGCGTCAGCCAGGTTCAGATCAGCACAACATTTGAATCCTAATTACGTTAGCCCGGAGCGCTATCACGCGTTTAACCTTTGAGCTATGCAGTACTTATAGAACTTGAGTTCTTTGAATATGTCCAATGGTAACAGGCAATATATGTCACTTCCGGATTATACGATGTCGCTGCGCTCGGTCCCTAGTTGTACCTAGTATCTACCATAAACGTTATCCGTTCTCTTCGATACCTAACGAAAACGTAGCTTTACTGTATACATAGGTTTTCCATTCATTGCATCTGAGCTGCGATGTCCTATTTTATGGTGAGAACAATTGAAAGCCGGTAGAAACATACTAGAAAATTTATCTTCAAGATAATTTTCTATGATCTCAAACAGTTGCGGCATTTAAATGAGTAAGGTGTCATCTTGACTGACCACGACCGCAGCCTCAGTCGACTACTGGTAGTTACCCTTTGTAGACCGCAGAGAGTCGATTTCAGCGCGGTTCATAACGAAAATAATTATCGATGAACATTTACCTAGGATTTTTCAATTGTACTTGTATACACCGTTGTAACCTAGCTTCGACGATAGACAGATTGTTTCGTGCTGATGAAATGCCCAAAGGCGATACCGGACGTAAAACTCGAAACGCTAAGGGTTGATTGTTACCGAGGGGTTCTTTGTAATGAAGTTGATTAAACAATATTATGCAGGCTGCTCTCACTCGGTTATTTTGCGAACCTTATTAGGTTCCAAGAAGCACAGGTTTATCTGCGTCCATTCAACAAGTCTGTTAGTGTATCAAATCGACACAGATATTCCGTACTTTGTGGCCGTCACGCACAGGCTTTACGTGAACTTGATTTGGAGAAGCTGTTCGTCCGTCCAACGAATTTGTACAGCGTAGTGACCTCATTGAACATCGTTATCCTGCTATCTGTTACAGGGGTCTGGACTACGCCCATCTACGAATTTCATCGTCGCAACAAACTCTATTTGACCAATTTTCTGTTCCGCTGCACCGTACTGCTTTTTTACATTATTGTGGGTAGTCGTATTGGGCATTCTTATGCACCACAGCAGCGCCAATATTTTAAACGGGGCATTTTAAAGACGAACATTTGGCGTGGAGACGTAGTGATTTGCCCTCAGTGTGCTTCAAGCAGTTCGATTTCTGTTGCTTTACGCTGACGCATGCCATGAGGCAGTATAGATCGATCTTGTTGGCCGAGGAAGCCGTTTAAAGCAGTAATGGGATCACAAAGTTTTTTCTGTTCGAGTTGGGGCATTCCCTGCAAGCCTTGGCCCGCTGAAGCGACGGTGGGGTTCGACTAGTCACGCAATACAACCACTAGTGACAACAAAGCCCTCCGAGGGTAGCCGATCAGCCAGTCACGTGCTACATCATGAAAGCGTCATCAGGCACAACACAATATGATGAACAGATGGAATATTACGTATTTCGTCAGCTTCGATGTCCACGATAAAAGCTTCCGGGAGAATAGCTTTTAAGATAGTGACCTATTCGTCAGTGTCTTTTTTGTATTCGGCAAAGCTGGAAAATATCTTGCGGCGAAAAGGTCGAAGTGAAATGAATCAATTTTGATAAGAGTGAAGGTATATACATACGACACATATTGATAACTCGTAACTGTTTTAAGCACGATCGGCGCTTGATTAATACATAATATTTATGGCTTTATCAGATGATATATATAATTCTTGGGTCGCAATGTTCGATAATTTTCATTAAATTATGCATAGTGGCCAAAATAATCAGCAAATCAGAATAGTAGATAACTTGTTTTATTCTTAACTAACTGAAATTAACACAGAATGCTTAAAGTTGCAAAATGAACTTTTTAATAATTACAGAGTTAGGGGCAGTTTTCACGTTCGGCAAAAGCAAGTTCAGTGACAACCTTCCCGGAACGTTCTGGGTAAAGAACGACGTGGTGATCAGCGTCGCCTGCGGAGATCAGCATTCGGTATTTATCACGGCGTCCGGTCGCGCGTTCTCGTTCGGCTCCAACGATTATGGGCAGCTCGGCCAGTCACATACGAAACCGCTAGTTAATCCCAGATGTATCAAAGGTATGAATATCGGCCGTCTGTTACTCTATAACCTCAACTATTCCCTATTGTGTAGAGCTATGTGATTGTAGTGAACCATAGAAATTATATAAATCGGAATGCCGGCGAATGTAGCAATGAGCTTTTCAACACTTTTTGGCTTTACAGTTATTTTCCCTGGCTTTTTGTGTCAACTGCCTAAATGGGAAGTAATCTTTATCCTCATTGGCTGCGACTCGTCACGGCCCCGCCTCCCTCCAAAATGATTAGTGCTAACTTTTCATTTACGCAACATTAAACTGTCCCCCCTTTTTCCGTTTTTTTTTTTTTTAAATTTTGGCGCCAGCCAGCTTAATTAGGTATCAAATAGATGCGCATAAGAAACCCCCAAGCAATGTTCGAAACAAATCGACATGAAACCATATTTCTTGAAATTTTTCTGTTGTTCTTACATCGTATTGCTTTATATAGTACTCAAAAAGATGAAAGAGATCCACAAAACGTAATTCAGTCTAGTTTTCTTTCTTTTCGGTGTCACGGGCTCTCCAGCTTCATGTGCTATGCATGAGCAGAGTTACGTATTTGCTATCGCGAGACGCAGAAAGCACTCACTGTCACCCAGTGTCCAGATTGTCCCCCTCTTCCGCCGCTCGCTCATTTTCTTTCCCTAAAAGTATGTTGCGAGGCTCCTGCCGGTGTCGCCACGGTGTGGCAAGTTCGTGTCCGCCGCTACAGGCGCGGCCGTTTCGACCCACTCTCGAATTTTGTCCTTAATGACAATCCTCTACACTTAGTGCAACTCTCGTGCCGTTTCTGGTTTTCTTAAGCGATCAGCCTGCACGACAGCAGAAGCAGCAGCAGCAGCAGCGGTAGCCTAGCAAGTAGTGTATGCCCACTGTTGAATCAAGGCCAGCCACTATTACTACTAGGCAAAACAAAATAGGGCGACTGCAGCAGACTAAAACTATTTGGGCCGGAAGGTCAAGTGGTAAGATTATACTATCGACTCTACTGAGACATGTTTAGACTATATGCTTTAGCGATAGGTTTTGAAAAGAAAAATTTGACGGTGGAGTTATGGGAAAGGAAAAGTAAGATAGACCGAAGTTTCATTAGGAAAGCCTGAGGGAGCTGAGAGGCCTCTAGCAACGGTATGTTTTGAATAGCGCCGAAATTCGGACGGTTTTCGAAAGCAGATATTTTGTACTGTTTTTTAACGTTCTTCTCATTGTCTCAAAAGCCAACGAGTGGGCTGGCTGGCTGGCTGGCTGGCTGGCTGGCTGGCTGACTGGCTGGCTGGCGAAGACTTGATGACACATGCTTTGCGGCTAAGCAGGCGCATCGTATCTAGTTCTAGTTATGACTATGTTTAATTAGGCAGGATTGAAGCGAGAATGTCTTGACCTCGTCCAGTAACGCAGGATACCGATAAACCATTTGTCATTGCTAATAAATCATGGTCAGGCTGTCGCTTATAGACAAGATATTCCTGATTAAGATACGCTGTGCTTGGATAGAGCATATAAATTTTATGATAACTTGATTTTCCGCCAAGTTTGTGTATATAAAATAACTATCTAGAGTTTTACATCCGTTAAGCATCCATTTCCATGGTTGGCTCCTTCCAACATGAGCCACAACTTGCTTACGGAACTCCGATCACCGCGCATCCTTGTGTTCGGTAGTCGAACACGTTACCAGTGTACCTTTACAGGCACAGATTCGTGTACTTACGCAGTGCTACGTTTATCTAAGGAATTTCTACCCAGAATTAAACAGTTGGTAGGGCATTGGGCTAGCTGGCTATTTTTCTACAACAGAGATGAATGATTACGTTTGTGTTTAAGCATACTAACGGCTGCAGACTGATGCTAATTTCAATTTCTAATATTATCATCAGTTATAATTTAGACTTTTAATAGTGCTACTGCTGAAATGAATAGAACTTATCACGCTCGCTTTCATGCGGACCACAGTATGGCTAGACAAATGCTCGTGCCCTAGTTCTACCCACGAGCTGCAGTCTGTACGCGGACCCCATAGGTAAAATGAGGTTCCATTTTAGCAAAACATGAAAAGCTCGGGCCGCAGTTGGCACGAATTTAGATCCATGATTCACGTGGCGCACGTTTCAATGCCTAACCGTATTCCGCTAACGTGTTCCCCACGAAGTCTCCACCAAGCGCCAAATGTCAATTTGGCTCGAATGAAGCCTAATGAAGGTTTAGAACTATTGATATATCATAGAACGTTGCTATCGATCGTCCAATAGCAATGTAACGGATAACAAAACATCTAGAACAAAGAAATACTATTATTGATGCATGATTCTGGGTCGAAATTCATGTAGACCGAAAGAATCATCTGGGTTAGATTGAGGAGTGTTCAATGGGCTCTTGTTAATTATGTCAAGTGACGCAGAGTGATCGAAGTAGACTTCGATATCAAGATCGCCTCTTGCACGCAAATAAGTTGCCCTACAAAATTTGAGTGTTGACCGTGAAGCTATAAGGCGTTTTCCGCATACTCCCATTGCTACATTGAAGATGGCGACCTGCCATATTCGTCGTCTCTAATATAATTATCTATATGAAGGAAAATCACGAATCACTGTATATAGGTCTGGCTTCGAAAACGATGAATCTTATCGATAGTAGACAAGAATGTTTTAAATCTGCAGGACATGTTCGGAATGAATAACTGCTCTGGTGAAGTCGCTCTGCAAGCGATACATATATAACCGGTAATCGTCGCACGTTGCTATAAGTTGCAACGAAGATATGCAGGCTGGTTTCTCACCCGAGTCTTCGTATTTATTTCGTAAACAGAGGATTCTATTAGAGAATCTATGGAACCATTATGGGTCGACGAGCTCGAGGCGCATATCGGGCTGCGGCTGAAAGTGAACTCTTTAGTGTACCACTATTGTTAAGGCTTGCTTCTTAAAAAGGCATTTCGAAACTCGTAAGCTTTTTCTGCTACAGTTGTTGCGATATTTTAGACCATAATTTTCCGATGGATATCTTGCGTGAGCCCACACAAAACTATAGGCGTGTTGGATGATTTTGTTGCTTGTTAATAGGAGGACAATAACAACACATCTGTTCTATATATTTCAAATTGATTTTCCGCTACAATTTACTATTCGGTCATCATTTATACGTAAAATTATCTGTGTGCTTATTGGTGATTACTTTGTTTTCAACGTGAAATTTCAGCGCTGAAAGACAAGCGCGCCATCTTGGTGGCGTGCGGCCGATCGCATACGTTAATAGCTACAGATGAGAAGAATGTCTACGCTTTTGGAATCAATTCGGAGCATCAGTTGGGAGTGAAGTCCTCGGCTGCTTATCATGCCGAACCACAGTTGGTATCGGCGCTCGCTGGTGTACAGGTCTGTACATAGATACAAGAAAGATATATTGGGAGCATGATAGTTTTCAAGAAGACTATCGGATAGCTCTAACAGCCCACCTCCTTCATCTGTTTTAAGCGAGAAAATCTTAGTCTAAACAATTCCTACCGTCGTGCATAGATAGGCTTCATCAGACAAGCTGTTTCACCATGTCAATGGTAGGTGAAGTTATGTCCCGTTATTAACAGGCGTCAAACGGTACAGTCCTCGATAACAATATTTGATTTATTGTACACGCATATTCGGGTACCATTTACAGCTACGATCTAATTATCCCGCAATTGGGAACGTAACTCAAAAGGGAATTACTTAATTAAAATTGCCTGTATAATTAATAAAATTAGTCAGGCAGGACTTTTAGCCAATGCATAAGATCATACAGGATAATTATTTAAAATTATCGTACTTGTTTTGCGAATACTCAGTTAATGCAAACAGTCATCATCGAACGATAATGGCTACCCGCTTCTTACCTGACCCGAAATGATTACTTTTAACAGAAGTTTATTAAAGAAAGATCGACGCAATCGAACAAATTTTGCCATCTATGACAGCCGCCACTGCGGTTAGGGTAGCACGATACGACCGGCCAAGACGACATACTACAATAATACTGCCGGACCCGACGCAGATGTACGCAGACACGTACGCGCACGAACGTACACCCATATCTGAGAGGTCGTCCATACTGAAGCACCTAGCAAGTGTTTTAAACTCAACTAACTTTAGCAAATAATCAAAATAGCGGTAGAGAACTTACATTAGGAGCGAACGCAAACAATAGCATATATTTGTAGGTTCATTTTTGTGCGATAGGTCGCACCAGCAAAAGGCTAAATATTATTACTCTGTCGTTCAGAAGCATCGGCAGATTTTTGTCGAAGCAACGAATTTGTATTAAAAAATGATCCATCCGTAAAAGTTGAATATAACTAGAGGTTACTCTCGAAAAATCCCTTGGATGATCCTCTAAGGGCGGTTATTCGCAAACGGGCCCATCGCTCCCCCTCCCGCTAGCTACAAATCTGCTTACGACCATTTTGAATTTCTTAGAAGAATATCATAGAAGTCTTATGTACTGTACTTAGATATGTATATAAGACTTGTAAGATATTCTTGACATTGCCCAATGTGGTAACTGAATGTAAATGTAAGACTATTGATGCGCTAAGTGTGGGAGTATATACAAAATGAGCTATGATAAATTGTGCTTTTCGTATGCAACGCTATGAGTTTATCCATAGGGCAATGGCGCAATATGGCGAACAGAGCTAATTAGTTTGAATACCTGTAGGTGCCTCTCGCATTCCTAACGAGTCCACAAAACGGAGAATCTCACCGATACCCCACCATGTGTACGTTTACTTCAGATAAAAGCTCTTGCCGCCGGCGCTGACCATTCAATGGCATTGAGTGCCAAAGGCATCGTCTACCTGTGGGGTTCCAGCGAACACGGCCAGCTCGGACTCGGCAGAAAGAAACAACGGAAACTGCCGGTGCAGCTAAAGACCGAAGGAAAGGCTTTGGGCATTTCGGCTGGGGCATACCATTCTGCCTACGTCAATAGTGAGGGGCATCTGTTTACATTTGGTACGTGTAAATCCACTGATCTGTTAGGACTGCGGCACGTCGTTTTTACCGAGGCGTAATTATCGATGAAGTTGTAGTAAGGCAAAAATGTTACCTATGATAGCTTTCGAACGAAAATGCACATGAGCACAATGGAATCCTGTATCACCGATTAACATCATTTAGCATGGCTTAGATATTCTTGGAACGCTACAACAGAAGAATAGAAGCAAAGTATATCTGGTACAGCTGGTGGCAATGCCAAGTAGTTAAATAAACTTTTGCGTTGTTCCGTAAGTAGAATTTCTTTGACCTTCTAAGGCGATGGCTTATTTAAGTTTTATTGATTTTTCAACTATCTGCCTCATAGCGGCTGTTAGTCAAACCGAGTCTATCGATTGACGCTAATACTCTACGTTCTGCTTGTAGTTTTGCTCGTACCATCACCCGCCAAAGACAGTAGCTGAAGTTGAAACTCTAACTCGTTGAATCGGCCCAAGCTTCATCGTCGCCATTTGTTAGTTATTAGGATACGAATCTAATAGATCTAGTAAGAATTCGAATTTATCTGTCTAGAAATAGATACCTAAGTAAGATGTATTGTATACATGAATGGACGCGGCAATATGCCCCACTGAGTTGTAGAGCATGCCTTCTATTCAAGGTCGCTTCTTCTTTATATTTGAGTCATCTGTGCGTCTGTTGATCGTAATTTTCGTTGGGCAGCATTACGTTGCTTTAGTACTATCGCTCTATTTTTATTGATCGGAACAAGGTTGGCAGAAATAAGCGGCACGAGCGGAATTCGAAGCAGACGAAGCAGGAACAGTAAAATAATTTCAGGTGTACAAAGATGTTGAATGGAAACGCTTCACGTTCTGAAGATATATTGATCCTGAGGCTAATGAGAGAATTCGAGAGAGAGAGAGACAGCAGCTAAAAGGGTGTAGAATGCCTCGAAGAAGCCCAAAAATAGTATCTTAACCATATCTTAATATCGTCCCTGCATAGGCAAGAATACGGGTACACACGGTGACCAGAAATGTTGCTAACAATGGTTACAAACGTAGAATATCATACAAGAGAGAAAAGAACACCTCTAAAGGGGCTACAGGGGCTGCATAAGTTCATGCAGATGTATCCACTCAGAGAAAGTCTTTCTCTCGCGCTGAGGTATTCGTTGTTGTGTATTGCCTTGATTAAACCAGTGAAAATATCTTTGATGCGAAATCGTCGCTCCTGCGTTTTTTATCGCCATATTGATATTGTTGCTAGGATGGATGCGATTTCGTATAGCCTGTACCATATGCTTGTTTGGGGTTACACAAAGGGTGTGGAACTACCCTTAGAAGTTTATGCTACAGGTAAATTGCCGATTCACATAAAGTCTGCATCGCAAATGCACTATTTAGTAAATGCAGTGGAGAAACGCTATGTTGCTGGTTGTCGCTAAAAAAATGACGTTCTAACCGTGCCGTTATCATAGCGGGGAATAGCGAAGGAAAGCGAAAAACAAAGAAAGTTGTTATAAGTAAGTTGCTCACCGGCTTGTTAATTAGAAGACTGAGTGTCTACTTGACAAACGTACACGGGGTTTTAACGGAGTTAGAGTTCTGGAGAGGACGCCCCACAGAAACGGCGTGCAAGATCTAGATATTCGACTTTAAGAAAGCACTGGCTACGTCGCATACTGTGCTACGCGCGATGTTTGTCGACTCCAAAACAACTTTGGACCAGAGAAGAGGTTACGCTCATGCTGGCCGAGCCAGATGCCCCTAAGAATGTGCCCAACCTTTTCACTGTAATTCTACAGGAAAACGGAATAACCATGGACGGCGAAGTGGCCATCACATAGACGATTTGCTCGATTCAGAAATACCATCTAAGCCAACTTTTATTCTTGATCTTGCTGAAGGGCCTCTCCTATGAAAAAAAGAGCTGACAAAACTAGTCGAAGTCATCTTGCATGCAGAAAACTTCACGGGTTTAACACGTCGCAGGTCCAGCTCTACGCGGCAGTCACCGATTTGAGAGACCGTCAACCTGATCAAGACTAAGACGATGAAGTTTAAAGGAAGAGGCAGCTCTTCCCCGCAAATAGCAGAAGGTTGACTGTGCCCGTCACCGAAACATGCAGCTTTGTCCATTGAAGTCGATTCCTCGAGGAAGTTCTGATGAGAATGTCATTTAAACAGATTTTACGGTGGAACATCTCAAGCATGTCAGAGCCTTTTTCCTTAAAAGAGCACTGGAACTAATCGATTCGTCCCTGCTGTCCGAAGGCCTACGTTGTCACTCTGAGCCCCCGGCAGACGAACTTTAGGAACTGGGACCAAAAAATTCGGAGAGATTTATGGGCACATTTGTGCTTTGGATGCAAGGAAAACCAACGAGTGCAAGGGGACAAGCCAGCTAAACAGACATACTGTTACACGCTTTGCTGTGCATAGGTTCTGCAATAATCTCTATAGAAAACCAGGTCTCCACGAGCCTGACGATACGTGAAGATGGTCCAGATGCGGGGGAAATCGTGATAGATATCATAGCATTCGTTCCCTCTTGGTACCATTTGTAAAATATCGGAGCAAATCTCTTAAAGGCTCGCATAATTAATCTTTTTGATATAGAAATATCATATCGTTGATGTTAGTTTTTGACTACTACCAGCAAAAATGAATAAATAAAATTTAATTCATTTCTGAAGGGGCAAAAGTGGTCTGATATATGGCCTTTAGTAACGGTAATGTTTTGCCCCTACTGGAGGAGGATAGTAGGCGTATGGAATAAAAAATTATATATGCACAAAGTGTTATTCGTAATTTGTCTTTGACAGGCGAGAGTGAGCACGGTAAACTAGGAACAAATCTAGCGCCACGGAGATGCCGGAAGCCATCGAAGGTGCCGGACATTCAAGGAACTGTTACTTCAGTAGCCTGTGGAGGATCACACACCGTTGCGCTGACCAGCGACGGGCGGGCATACTCATTTGGAGATGGTAAGTGTGACTTCATGCCCTTGTTCCCTCAAATTCGATGATTGGATCGATTATTTTTTTTATCGGACAACAGTATCAAACGTATCTAGCTTTCTTCCATATATGCCTATTATGTTGCTTCAAAGAAATCCACGAACGTGTACGCTTGCTATATTAGCAACCCTAACTAAGTATCTCAAGATATTAACAAACACACGCCGAAAATAGAATTTCCATCGCTGACGTTATTTTTTTTTTATTTATTTACAATTTATTATATATCCCCAATTATTAGACACTATAGCATACGCATGCTAATAATAGTACAATAGCAATGAGTCTGCTACGCTACCTTCTAAATACATAGCTGGTTCAGTAACTTCCAAGTCATTTGTTGTATTATCTCAACTGCCTTACTACCTACAGGTTCCCACGGTCAACTTGGTCTTGGGTCGCGAATCACCCATGCTGGTAGGCCTCATTTGGTACAGGTGCCCACAGGGGTTCGTATGGCTCGAGTGTCTGCGGGTCAGAATCACACAGCGTTTCTAAGCGATGGTCGGCAGCTTTTCACGTGCGGAGAGGGTAGACATGGAAAACTGGCTTTGGAAGATGGCGAAATGGGCAGTGACAAATTCAGTCCAATGTTGGTCGACATTCTATCACTGTTTCAGGTGCAACAGGTTAGTGAATCAGGCTCAAAAGGTTAGCCACGTTTGCCTGTGGCCTGAACAAGATTAGCTCATTGACTGGGTGATACGCGATGCTTCGAAGTGTCATAAATATTTCAGATTTATGTCAGAATATAACAATATCAGATAACTGATTGTAATACTATTAAAATTGCAACTATAGGAACTTGGATCAGATTATATAGACGAGATAAGTTCATTGAATACTGACAAGCATCAAGAATTATCCTTCCTGCTCGATATTAGATACTGCATTTTTGCGAACGTAGTATTTTTGTGTGTATTTATTTGTCTGTAGTTTGATCAATACGTCTTGTTCAGACGGAATTGTTCACCATGTTGTTTTATGGCTTTTCCTCTGACCTCGTAATGAGAATGTGTCATATATTTACCATTGGAAGGTATCGTGCGGTGGGTGTCACACACTCGTGCTTGTCGTGCCCGGTCTTGAAGATAGTCAGGGCAACCGAATGGGTGACTCACCCATCTCAGCGGCCGTTCAAGCAACAGAGCTCACGCTAGCTCGCCTACGGAGGCGCTACAAGAGGGCACTCAGCTACGCCGATCTCTACGCTGACGAAAATGATGGTACTTATTTTGAACTGATAATTAGTTGTGGTCACAATATTTTGCAATACAAATTTATCCAGATAATGATAATTATAATACTGTGATGTATGGTTGCTATATCTGCTGTGCAATATATAGCGGCGTTAGAAAAAGTACCATATGCGTGCATTTAACGGTCTTTGTCGTCCTCTATGTCAATACTGCTGCCATATGTATATGTTTCCAGTTCTATAGTATTCTTTACAACGGTTATAGACATCTATATGCCCGTATAAAGCGCCAACAGGTGGCCCTGAACTAGTACTAGCTAGTGGACAGAAGTTACTGGGAAAAACGGCTCCAAGTGCTACTTTTGTCGTATCGCGTGGTCTATATCATGACGCCGTCCGATTTACTGAGCAGATTTTAAGGGGTTTCATTCAAGTATATCAGCACAGGTTTGACAAGTCTTTATAAAATTAGGAATTATATATCTAGCTTAGAGAGTATGCAGCTGTAGCCTAAACTCCCTGGCAAAGCCTGTGGGCTTCTGCCGACGCTGACGCTTCATACTAGCTTTTTCGCTTGCTAGCACAAAATTATGTTCTGCCAGGGAGAGGCCATTAGGATAGCAAAATGGCAAAAGCCGTTGAGGTCTTGGCACGACTAACTGAATACCTAAGTAGTACAGTTGAACCTATATTCGCTATCCTCCGAAACCCTTGCATAATATACTATCTATAATAATATGCTAGCTATATAAGTTATGGAAATCCGTATATCGTGTGTGCTTTTCTTAGCGAGCCGTAGAGCTCTTAGATTAGAACTCCTCAGATTGGATTTTTTTATCCGTAGACCATTCATCTCAATGGTTGTACTTGGCAAAAAAATATTGACCAACAAAATGTCCCGGTGCTTTCAGCGGAGAAACGATTATCTCGGCATTACCTAAATTTGGACGACTCAACTGCGTTCGCGACTCTTCGGTACATTGATTCGGACGTTGAGTCCGACGTAGATGATGAAAATGCCAACATTAGCGCGGTAAGTTGACTGTGGCAAATATTTATTTGGGCATCTATTGACGAAAATTCTAAACACCCATTAAATGATGGAGAGAAAACAATTTGAAACAATCTGGGTAGATGCCAACGTGGGTCATTGTACATGAACAAATCCGGATATGCTACTGTGTCAGTTCTCTGGGCCAACAAGGGCCGCTTGAAAACAGCAATTACAGAACCATGCCAGTATATAGAATTTACATTTGAACTAACACCTCTGAGCATATTGAGTAGTATACATATTGGTAAAATAGGTACATTGTAACTTCACTCTGAGACTGAGAGAGCGTATCAACTATCGTTTAGCAGATGTGGGCAAAAAAATGAATGAATCATCGTTCAGTAAAGCAGTGCGTTCTATTATCAAAATAAATGGAAGTACTTGAAATGAACATGGTTAAATTAGATTGGCAACAGTTTCAACGAGCTCAACCACACATTTCGTGTTGGACATCCTGGATACCTGATCTGGATTGTTTTTGTTAGACCCAACTATTCGACTCTGAAATCTATCAGATCTATTTGTCATAAGCTGCCATAGCTGGATCTGCATTTAGTCAAACACGTTTCGAAGTGTCAGCATGTATGGCTGTAGACGATGCACGTTCGAGATAGTGGTTTTTGGCATTTAGAAGCAAAAAGATGCTTGCAGTTCTTCAAACCTGCTTTTAGGTCTCTAAAGAGACTTTGTCTCTTTAAGAAGAAAGAATTGGAGTTTACAGCTTGATGGGAAGTTAAGGCTAGAACTTTATCCCGATAACCTCTTACGTTTGAATGGGATCACTTGCATAAAGTCCTGCATAACAATAGTGTAAGGTTTATTAAAATATAGGTAAATATAGGTAAATAGCAACTATTTACAGACTTTGGCTATGCTTGAAATCTATAGTTTGATTTATTTACAGTAAAAATAACCCAGTATTCTTAGAATAGTTTTTGACGAAAATTTGAAAATCCGAACGTATCTTAGATTCTAAAATAGGAATTATAGTAAGAGCTTCAAAACTCTGTGAATTATTTATGCAGCTATAACAGTTTCACTAATGCCGTAATAATTCGGTGGCAGGATTATCGTTTCCTTGTAGATATATATGTAGAGTTTAAGGTGCCTTTCTTGAAATGCTTTAGTTACTGATGAGTATATTGGTCTTCGATCGGTCTTCCTGTCGATGTTATCCTCCCTAACAAAATGCTTGTTCTGCCTTTTTTTATGCAATTGCACGTGTAGGCCTCGGTAATCTGCGCGGACGGCAAAGATGTAGGACTGAAAAACGGTTCAAAGAAAACCAAAAATGGAGGTACGGGGAGCGATGCGGCTGGCAAAACGGGACGAGAGGCAAACGCAAAGGTATACATCAACGGGGATCGATTTTTCCTTTAGTGAACGCCGAGGATAGATAGGACCTTAGCGTTGAAACAGCACCATTGTTAAAAAAAGAACTCGAAACAGCCACTTCAGTTCGATAAGTCCAAAGGAATTTCTCCCGCATTATCTGGTCTCGCTGTTGTCATGGTGTGCATTGTTCATAGTTGGAGCTTGAACTTCACTGTACTTAGGTATGGAACAAGTTTATCACTTATAGAAAAATGACCTTCACATCAATAGTTTAGCAACGAGAAAAGGAAGAAGATTTCACTCAAGAGTTTGGGTTCCAGCCAGAACGTACACTAAGGGTGTGGCTATAATAGTTCATGACCTGATAAATATAGGAGTTTATCTGTGAGATATTATCCCAGTTTCTAGTGCAGATTATTACGTCTTCTGAAAAGAGATCGACTCTTAGCCTGCCAGTCGAATGGGTAGAAAATAATTACTTATATACAAATTCTAGGTGTGAGGTTAAAGACAAATAACGGTTCATCATTCGCTACCTGGTTTGTGTGATTTCAAAATGCAATTCCACCCAATTGCTCTGCTTTAACCTAACAGGCCACATAGGCCAGAAAATGTTCGAGGCATTAGACCGGTGGCGCTCAGACACAATCTGCAGCGTCACATACATTCGTCATGAAAAATATGCCCGAAGCAGCTCAAGCGTGCTGTCGATTCGTTCGGACATATTTTCAATGATAAGGGACACTTACGCTTCTCAAAACAGACACAAGTCAGCAGACGTTTGCGTATCTGCTATTGTTGCATGAATATTTTATATATCTACGTGTCTGTAAATTAATGCTTTGCTAGAATGTTCATTAAACCAACCGTAAACAGCATTGGAACGCTCCTTGTACGCGAGCGTACATATCTATAGGTGTTTACTGGGCATGTGTATGGACTACGAATACTATTATAGACTAACGTGTCGCGGATGTACACACAATTGTTGACAAACACCTGTTATAATATGATGAAAGATATATCGCTTCCTGTTCCCGATTTCGTGCTGCTATAAAGCCTAGACAGCCTTGTTCCAGTACGACAACCTTACTGTATGTAGAGCTTGCTACGTTACGTGTCAGCTGAATTACCAACCTGTACAGAGGTTCGTTGGCTAACCATTGATTATGTGTGAGCTCACGTTAGCGATAGTGGCGCCACATACAGCAGCAGGAGCGCGAACGAGATCCGACGATAGTCGAGTGCCATTTCATAGATCTTGCCCCGCTATCCTTTCGAGATTGTATGTTTATTAACGCTAGATAATACTAGGGTAATCATTAGAAGTAAACTGTGCTAAGACCGAGAGAGTGAGCGAATTGCGACCGTATCAGGGAGCAGCTGTCTATCGATGCGACGCGTTGCTCAATAACTGCCGAATGGGAAAGAACGCGAGAAAGCCAGCATATGGTAAGCAGAAGCGTAGAATGGTAGTCGTAGCGAGTGCATTCAGCCTATCGAGCAAATGTGCTAGGCATCCTATTCTTTCTCGTCGTCGCCGAGGGATGCTCGGCCCTGTTTGCATGTTGACGCACGTAGTCAGTCTGTCTCCCGCTCGGATTAGTCGGCCATCTTGTAACTGCACGTCATTGTGTCAGCTCACAGAGCCAGAAAACTGAACGGGTCAACTGAACCGATTGAAGGGACCCGTAATTTTATCATGCTCGTGCAGAGCCATCCGTGCCGGAGTACCAATCTAGATCCGACAAGGTGATGAATAGCATTAGTGGAAGAGGTAGACGTCACGCAAAAATATTACCTATCGATACCACAAGTCGCCTACGCTATTCTTGCATGATTTCGAAATGCCACCCCGTACTTAAAGCTCGCTTGATCATAACCTCGGGTTGTTCCCAAGCTTGCTCGGATAAACCTACTTTATGATGCGTCTAGTAATAGATGTTGTTCTCTGTCATGATCATGTCTCTGTGCACAAGCGAACCTCTGCTTAGCATCATCGGTTAAGGATTCAGATGGATTGAAACTTTAACCTATCAGCGTTAAGTAACATTACATTACAGTTATTTTGAACGTATACTTACTGTGGATTTATTTCTTATTATCTGCGGATACAAATAGTTTCAAGGTGATCGATATACTGTATTTTGTTTGCTATTTAGATCCACATTAGTGGTTGTTCTTATCACCATTATGATCATTTCTTGTTTCACGATTGTTGTTATTGTTACTCAAACGGCGGAGATCTTCGTTAGGACGGTGCGCCGTATAGAATTGGCGCCGCACAGCTTTGTGCATAATAGCTACTGGGTAAGGAAAGTATTTTGAATTTGGTGACCTTCTCCTAACAGCGTCCCCTTTCGTACTTGTCCTTTGTCCGTTTTTTTCTGTTATTTATCTGTCCTTCTTGTGTTTCTTCCTTTGGGTGGGGGAGTGGCGGCGGCTTTCTATTTTTTTGTCGGTCTGCGTTGTTTTTCTTGTGTTTTATTTCCCATTGCCTTTCTCTGTGTTACTTTCAGCAGTCATCATCGTGCATTATCCAATAGGCGGTCACTGCCGCCGTGGCCGCTGCAGCCTCCTTCGACTCGCCGTAGCCTTTCACGTCAGCAGAACACCACCCATCAAGCGAGGGCATGGGTCAACCGCTGATTGTGGGCCATAGACTCAGCCCACATTAGCATGCACTAGTTGGTTAATTCAAGCCAATGCTAAATCACCGTTGACGAGTTTCACGCGAAGCAGCAGAGGACGTGTTCGATGATACTAGCTGATAGATGCCATGAACGATTTGAAAGGCACGAAAATCACAGATGCATCTATTCGACACGAACGACGAGTGCAAATTTTTTGATAGTTTGATTCATTTAGACTAGCGTATGGGGACGTCCGGTGGGCGCAGAAAAATGAGGACAGTTATATTGCAATGTAGCGAGTCGGAGAGCCGCAAAGGGAAAAACGTCAGTGAAGAAAGACTGAAATGTTCAGCTTATTAGGTCCGTCTATCTGCAGCAGAATTCTCGACGCTAACGGCACCATTCATGAATCTATGCACTACATTGCCAAGTATTTCGCCTTTACATCTTGCAATACTCACTACATAGCCATTGCGAGCTTTGCCGTCCGAGTGAATCGCTTCACTCAGTCAAGCGAGCCGATTCGTTTGAAGCACAAGCTTATTTATATCTTTTCGTGGCGAGTTCGTGCGTCATCGGTAAGTGTTGATTCCTTGACGCTATATCCATAGGCGCCGCGATCGCTGCGATTATCATGTGTAGCCACTTAACTAGGACTATTTCAGGACAACGGTGAAGCTCGTTGCACCATCTTGTGGCTATACTTATATAAACAAAATAGCGGTCTTGACGCTTACGGGGTAAGCGCAAAAATGCTTGTTTGTGCCCGCGTGCATCAAACGTCAAAGCCACACGGCACTCTAACGCTGTTAACGAGTTGACGATTTTTCTAATAATTAAATGTGCATCAGCTCCCCTTTATGTAACATAAATATTAGGTGCAATGTTTTTTCCAGGCAAGCCCCGCTATGACCCATATGTCGGTATTCCCTCTCGCCTCTAGTTTTCTCCGTTGCGAATGGCATAAGCCAGAATAGAAAAAAAAAAAAAGCCTCATCGTTCGCTGAGCCGAGGGCTCGATTAACAATTATGGGTTGCTTGGCTACGCCGACAAGACTTGGGGATACGACTGAAGCTTGAAATTTCATCGTCACTGTGCATGTCTTAGAAGCGTTATCTTCAACTCGCATAACAAACCTTATATGTACATTTATCTGCACATCCTTTTACAAATTATTAACTACATTAAGTATAGTAATGCAATCTGACAGGCATGAATGACTACTTTATAACTACTATCCAAAGGTTTTATGCTTTGTTCGTTAATGTGCAGGCTCATTGCTGATATTTAAAAGAGAAACTATACATATATATAATATATAGTTTCTCTTTACGCATATATATATATATATAACTTCCGTTGAAGCACAGGTGCACACGTTTGACTTCCAGCTTTCCAGCTTATGTATTGTGAGCCATTGCTGCTATTTGGTGATAACGGACTTTTCAAGATCACATTTCTTCTTATAGCCTCTTCCTTTTATCGCACCGTTTGTTCTACACGGTTTTAATTGTGGATTATATACGTGTATGCATATTCTTGAAAGCGTTTCAAATATGTTACTTATTTATTTTTCCTATTGTTATTTTCGTCCATTGATTTCCGCGTTGAGTTGGCGGTATGAACTCTGTAAGCCATCTGGTTGCTGGTAAAGCTTATTGCAGACGTGTTTTTTTGTCATACGTAGTGTTTCTCCAACGTCTCTAGCCTACCCGAAGTCATCGGTTGCCCTCAAAAGGCTATAAATGTCCTGCTGTGCCAGACATCAATTGCCCCTCGAGCTGTCTTGGCACTGCTCTTCCCCACATCAACATTATAAACACAGTTAAGCGTTTTTATGTTTTGCCTACTTCAAGAACATATCAGCTACGAGTATACGTTTGTAAAATCAGACCCCCGCCTCGCCTTTCATCTACGCACCGCGATCGGCAAATTCGTATTGTTCTAATACCACTAGTACAATTTTTAATAGTTCTCTACTTATATTATCGTTCCAACGAGAAGCAAAGGAAAAATCGATAGAATTTCAAATGGCGATCCAAATAGATGTCAAACCTCGCACTGAGGTAACCCATTGATTTGTTCGCTGTAGATTAGTTACCGTGAGCGCGGTGGCACCGGCGCTATTAAAAACCGAGGAAGAAGCTGCATACTTCAACTATACAATTGGTATAAAGCACAATTGAAGAGATAGCTTTAGATACTTCGCTTCGGGTGCTGCCACGCTCCTAATATGTGGGAGAACCCCCCTGACATCGTCGTCACTCGGAGACTACGCTGTGATAACGAGAAAAATAAGCAGACTCGATAAAGCATGCAAGCGCAAGATAGGACCGATATTGACAAGGGAGATAATGAAATGGACACGAATCATTTATGCAAGAATCACTAACAACTACCAAACCTCGTATCGAGACAGAAGCGAACACGGTTTCCTGAAATACGAGGGCCAGCTCGTTACTACACACAGATCGTGTAATATGTTCAGTGCAATAACAGTAAGTTCTATATGCATCCACATATATATATATATATATATATATACCCTATAATGGCACTTGCTGAAAAAAGTATGCTAATTAATACGTACCAGATGGCAACTACAACTGATATAACAAAGGATACGAGGAATGCGCACAGATCTGGATAGAGAGACATTACACAGAGCTGTGCACTAGGGGAAGAAAATAGCGATATATTGTAATTTTATTATGGGTTGGGCACCATCACGCGTAGACAAGATTTATGGAAACCGACACCTCAGAGGGGAGAAAAGAGCACAGGGGCCTAAGCTGGGTGAGTGGGTGACTCGATGCAGCATAATAGTAACACCATCACCAGTACCGTTTACATCATCCCACACTCGATCTTGTTGCGTGTCGTTTAGATGTTAAAGAAAAACAAACCAGTCTGATATATATTTAAAGCCGGCTATTTTTTTTTCGTGAGACAGTTGCAGCAACCTTAAAATCTATAAGAATAGAATCGGGACGCGGGACACGGTGTCTGTCCACAGCACGTCCACCTCGGAGGATCTTAGCGGTTCCCAAATCTGCGGCTCCCAAAGGGTAGTTGTATGTCCGTGTATGTGGGCATACGATGAAGCTGTGGGTTTTCATAACGAAGACCACAATTATTGCTATAAGATACACTTATGATAAGTTATAAGTATATATACAAATATACAAACTTCACACATACACTCACATGCACACGTACACCATCTAGTTGACATTACATAGGGATAAAGCGGTGCACGCTAATCAATCAATGGATCGATAGAAATGTGCGTCCCGAACCTAACCGCGCCCACTACAAAGCAGGCAATCCTGCCCATCCCTTCTCAGATAATTCAATTCAGACAAACACGAAAAGTTCGATGATACGGCGTCACCAATCGACACCAAAGTGTCATGGATGATCATCACCAAAACCTGTACTGATCGTATTGCTGTTCATTGTACAGGACACTACCTCCGCTTTAGCGCGACCGATATAGAACTTCGATTAGCTTCCGCCGAGAATGGCGACCCATGCTCCTGCCTACCCGTGCGCGATGTATTTACCACTTCAGTCACTGAGTGGCGCCAGCGGTGCCTCGCCGACACTAACGAAGCCAATCCGAGTTACGACACTTAGTAGTTTTTTTGGCGTTCCAACAATGTGCTATTGGATCGCACAGCAGTAACAACAGCTTTGTAACACCATTGTCCTATCTATGAATAAAATACTTGCGGGCGAAATGGCCTAAACGTATTCTCTTCTTCGATCTTGAGGTTATGTATATATACGGAGCTTCCCTGACGCCTTCTGCGTTTGAGAGATTCTTTTTTCGAGTAAATTTGCGATACCAGTATACCAGACATTTCCCACAAATATACAGAAGGCATAAACAAATGCTTAATTCTCTGTGCAAAAGAAAATCAATCCCAGCGTACGCTGTTGCGCTGACTAAGTAACATGATCAGAAAGGCAAAATTTGTCGAACTTAACTTATCCTTAACACTCGAATTAGGTATACATAGTACATTTAATGAAAAAGAAAGAAACCGGAAAAAGTTCGCCTTATTACTCATTCCGCATACGAAAAAACCCATTTTCCCGATTTTAGCCCTTGGACCCTCTGCAAGGCAGAATACGTCTACTAACGAACGACGCGCTACTTTATCCCCTTGACAACGAGTGCGTATCTTAAAGCATGGGTTTAGCGAGTGACTATTATTAGATAAAATGTATTATTAACACTAATAGCAGGTAGATAGATGTCTTGGTTAGGTTAGCTATCTTAACTAGAAAAAAGCCGATGGATTAGAAAGCAGCTGCATATTACCATATCCGTGAAGTTACTGAAACGAAACGATAATGCCAATGATAACAAACACAAAATAACAGCAAGACCGGGTCAGCGGATGACCAGCACAAAAACATTTTGGGAACTAAACGGAGAGAAAGGTCAGCTTATAAATATATTTCACTGGACGAACCTTGTGTGCTGATTAGTTAGCGATAATTATAAAGTGCGTTCGAGTGGTGATTTACTCATTCTTCTGTTTATACCTAATGACTCAGTACTTATATATATATATATATATATATATATATATATATATAAATGATAAATGAGGAAAGATGACTATCGACAACACACATTTGGTAAGAATAGGTTATTAAGGTTGCAGCTGATATATATTTGCGATTGTAATAAAAATACTCAACGAGTGCTAAAATAGTTGAGTTTTCATTCCTCGCACCATAACACCCCAGGACAGATACTGTTCGCCAGTATTGGGCCCTGACTTACACAACGCACGCACAAATCCTCCAGATAAATAAATAAAAAAAGAGCTAGGGAGCTTTTATTTTATTTAAAATATTCAGGTTTATTTTGGAAACTTTATAGCAACACGTGAGTTTTTTTCCGTCTGATCAATCATTGCAAGAAATAAGCATGATAAAGCCAAAACCTTTTATAAAGTATGCTTTCTTTTTCCTTTGTTCTTGCAAAAAATCCCTTAACTAAGCCACGCATTTTTTTTTCAAATACTGTTCGATATCTTTTGGAACCGTAAGAAAAGATTAAGTTTTTTTTTTCTTCTTTGAATCACATAGGGAACTGCGTAAAAAACATAAGTAAAACAACAACAACAACAACAAAGGAAGATTGTGCATTGTATAAGTTCGCACATAATGTTCAATGTATCTAAACGCAATGTATTTAAAGCAATACTGTTGTTAATATCGAGTGCGATATGTGGAACAAACAAACAAACAAACAAATTTCGGGCTTAGATACAAGCCCGACAAGGCGACAAATAGGTCGCCTACAAATAACTGATCCGACATCCAATAGCGAATATCAGCTAAAAGTATCGAAATTATCGTTTTAAATTAAAAATCCGCTGGCTGGATACCACCGTTCGGCAAAACACCGGCTGCTTTCTGTCATAAGCCCAACGCTTCGTGACAAACGGTAGAGATAATTGACAACAGTCTGAGGCCAGCTATTAGGAAATTAGCAGGAAAACAAAAGCGAAGCAAACGAGGTATCTGTTACGGACATAAATAATTATATTGCAAGGTAGACAATAGACCCTTAGATGGGACTAAATGGAGGCTCGTAATAGAATTATCTTAAAGCATCTGAGATTATAATAGAATAAACCACACACGAACGCGTCAAAGCATTGCTCTGTAAAAATGTTATATATAAATAAGGTATTTAGGTATTATGTAGTGTAAAAGATCTTTTGTCATTTAATAAACAGCATCTAGTTCCGCAACCTGCAAGTACCTGCCGAAAAGTAACATATCAGTACCTCTCTGCCTTTCAACAAAAGCAAAACAAATCGGCAATGATCATTCAAAGTATTTTGATTTTTCGTGCTAGAGGATATCTGCTGACAAATCTGCGAAGGTCCTCGAGACCACTCATGAAAACCTCATTATCTAATAAATTATAGTAAATTTTCATTCAGCAGGCATCATTTTCTATCCTTCTACTTATAGTGTCTTGGCAGTAACTACGCGCTTCGGTTGTACAAAGTCCACTGACAATTATGGAGAGTCATCTCTAATCGACGTTTGTTTCTCCTGAAATTCGTCCGTTTAACAAAAGTCAGTCTTTTTAAAGTGTCTAATTGAATTATCAGCCAATTATACAATATTTCGCACACCTTATTTTAGTTACACCTAATATTGAGGTCCACAGAGAGACGAAGTACGATGCGCAAATTTTCCAAATAGACTTCAAATAGAAAATACTAAAAAAAAAAACGCCATTCGACGTATCCATGCGCCCCTTAGTAGCGTGGAACCTTTGACACGTAACGGAAAAATAGTCTCAGTTACGCTGGACCCATCTCTTAGTCGACGTTTGGCCTTAGCGCCTCGAATTATGACTCAGGCCAGAAGGGTTATGAATCGGAACAATTTCTAGATACAATTGAAAAGCATCGCACCTAATTTAACGTTACAATTAAGGATTGAAGTGCATATGGCTCGTTCAGGCGTATGCGTTTCTGTCAAATTTCGACGGAAAGCGTCTAAAAAGTATTGAGGATTAAGCGAATACTTAAATGATCATCAATCGAAGTACTAGTGGCCTGCTAGAGTAACAGCCGCACGCAATGTAAAGAATCAGAATATCAAATACTAGATTATTATTAGAGACCGAAGGCAAACTATGCCTTCAGTGACTTGTGATATTTCAGGTTTGCTTCAAGTCTGTGGTAGTTTCACGTCCGTAACGTAATAGCTAGCCACTACGTTAAACGTAAATCAAAGTAAGTAAATATTTATCTAAGTATTCACATATCTCGGTTTATATATTGTGTAACTTGCTGGCTTACATGTTTATGATAATAGTCGTTATAATGGCGTTTCAGTCTCAGGCAATATATAATTGTGTGCGGGCGGGCAGACAGAATCACAAGTGAAACTACCTCATATTCCCTATATAGAGTAATTTTTATCGAACAGGCAACATTTTCAACTACTTCATTTAGATAAGCTATACTGGTCAGCCTTACTTTGATATCCACTGCTCGGTTAGATGAGCTGTAGAATGACAAGTTAGCTTCATTCGACCTTCATCGTTGTGGAAACATTGTTTATAAATAAATTATTATTAGGTTAAATTCGCCAAAACAGCGAGTATCTGATCCAATTGCACACCGCAAAGCGCAACGTTTTCCGTTGTTATTTGCTTTCCAGTGTTTCAAAGGTGTGATACTAGAAAAAAATTCGACAACTCTAACTAGATGCCTCTTACCGTGCAAACGTATTTCGGTAACATTTGGCGCGCTACTTACATAAAATGCGTACGCTTGTTTCAACCCAAAAATGTATGTACGTTGGGGAAGCGATGGGGCCGGACTGTTGCAAAGTGCACAACCCATTATCACCAGCACCGTCATCAGATCAGGTGCAGTGCGGTATGCAGACGGTCATGGTCTTCACGAGTCAAATCGTCGGTCGTTCGGCTGACTCTTCGCGGCGCCCGGCGATTGCCGCACTCATAGACGGTAGTGTATACACACCGATGCGAGTAACTCTTAGCCAGCGGCATACATCTACCGACCAGAGAAGGCGACCGCAGACTCAGGCCAATGCCAGTAGGCCCAGATTCTCCTCTCAAAAACTGCAATAGTCGTAACGACGGTGGTAGTCGAAGTACACCGTTCGGCTTAGCGGCGGTGGCAGTAGTAGCGACAACGAAAGTCGCTGATCGACCCGCCTTGTTTCTTTCCGTTGCGCAGCGTTGTTTTCAGATAGGTATTTACCAGTGAAACTGGTCTATTGGCTGATGTGTCAATCTGCTCTATAGCACACAGCCACTACTGCGTCTGTTGGTTAGTGGGTTTGTCGATCTTGTCGGCGAAGTTGGTAAAATCGCTGCCCCACCTGTCTATGCGGCTGCTTTCTGGAGTCATAGGGCATAACGTAATGCGCTGGTGTCACCTGTGTGTTCCGTTGATTGCTGATCGTCCGTCTATTCGTTCGGTTCGTCCGCGCCTGTCTGTTGTGTTTTTCGGCACAGCCGTTGCCGCTTCCATCACCATCGTCGCTACTAGCGCTGCTTGTGGCTGGGCCGATGCCGTAAGACGTAGAATACTTACTGCGACCCCGTTTGGAGCCCGAAACGTGCGTGTCCGACGCTCCTGGCGTATTGCACTGCATCCCGCCTCCTTGCCTCTCGTTTCTCCAGTCATCCGGCGGCCAGTGTTTAGCGCGCGATAGTGCAGACTACTACCACCGTTGACGTCGCGCTCTCGCTGGGCCCGGAAGGTCTGAAGCCACGACCGAACACCGACCGGCAAGCTGAAGAGGTACGCAGCCGTCTGATCCGATCACCCACCCACACATAGAATGAAACGCAGAAAGAGCATTCGTCGATTGCATTACAATTATTATTATTGGTGCTGTTGTTGATCAATAACAATTATCCGTTTTAGGCTATGCCATCGATGCATAGACGCATCTGACTAGATGCGGTACCGATGATACATGGGCAGTCGCCTGTTGTTCATGCAGGTCTTAGACGTTCTTTGGTTGATGGCTGCCAATCGACAAATAGAACTACCAATAATAACTATATTGCAAAAACAAAGTAACAAACCGCTGATCGATTTGGTGATACTACAGTGTACAGAGATCTGCTGAAGTCAATCTCGTCTCGAGCGGTCGGTATACGTCAACGAGTAAACAGTGGCATTAACGTAATGGAAGCTATAGTGTCTAGTATTGGGCCTTAAATGTGGTGCGTTGTTAACTATGTGTCCGCAGTATGACATAACGACATAGCGCTACACGACCATTTACGTAAACAGACAATTTTAAGAGTTCCGTTGATTTGTCCGCCTGCGCTTCTATCGAAGAAATAATATAACATTCTTTGTATCTATCAGTGAAAGTGCTGTGAAAGGAGTTGGACGTATGATTCTAGGTAGAAATCAAATAGATAGCTTATACATATAACATGCTTATTATATATATATATATGAATGTGTTCTCTTCCCTACGTTCAGGAGACTTTTCAATGAAAGGTTTAGACAAGATATTGCGGGCTGGTTGCAGGTTAAGCAAGCTGTTCAAGCTGGGCGGCGGTCAGGAAGCACCTGCTCCTCCGCCGCCCCAGCAAGGAGGTTTTTCGCAATTGCCCTCATCGCAGTCACTCTCAGAAACCGCTGATTCTTCTCTGGGCTCGCAGTATTCGTTGGACTCGCTGGACGGGCGTAACATCAGCTCACTATCTGACGCACCGCCATCTTCCGGAGCCCTTCTCAGGCGAGCGGCTTCTATAAGGACCTTAAATCTGATGGATGGTTCCATGTATTCATGTGCGGGCGAACAGCTCTCCGATCATATATTTGCTGAACATGAACCAACTCTAAAGAAGTCTGAAGATCTCTCTAGCCTATTCGAGGCGGATGTGCTTCCAGAAGAAGAGATACACGTGGCTCAGCCGAACGACGACAACACAATAAGCGCTAAGACGTTAGCTGGCCAGATCCGTGAAAATGAAGCTGGATTACCTCGTCAGGTGAAACATAGCACCCAGATATCGTTAAACGCCGAGGTGCACAATAACGCCAACGTGGTTGATGTTGGCAAAGACGGCGTGAGGAAGCAATGCGCCGTTGTAGTACCAAGTCTGTTCGCTGATGGTGCTAACGGCATATTAACAAGCGAGGGTGAAAAAAAATGCAAAAATACAGCAGGTCCAAAGGGATCATCTGTCCAAGTAAGAACACAAACTGTCGAAGAAAAGTCACTGGCGGGAAAGGGCCAAAAGCAGCTCGAAGCAGCCGAAACGGCCATTGCTGTAGAGGCTAAGTTAATATGCGAACACGCCAATAGAAAGATGCCTGCAGCGCGTTCAATGGCGGCACTCACTTCTCAGTCGCCTGGTGTTGTAGTCGCTCTGGACATCCCAGAGCAAGCGAGTCGCGTTGTAACAATTTCCGATGAAAACGGAGAGCAGGTCGCTTCAATTAGCCAAACGGTGATGTCATCTAATGCTGTAGAGATCGTGGAAGACCACAAACCAGAGGCACCGCCAACAGCAGTGACAGTGACCAGTGAAGCTTTCAAAACTACGATTGATGATGCGGAAAAGCTATTTATTGATTGTAATGATCAACGTGCACTCTGCCTTAGCGACCTTCCAGAGAAGCAAAAAAAAAACAAAAGAGGCAATCGTCGCGGAAAAAATCGTACGAAAGGTCGTGATAAGAGTGACCAGGATGATAGAGCCAGTCCTACCAGTTCGATGATGAGAGAGACCCGTAATAACGTCAATGAACAAGCTAAAATTCGGAGCGAAGCAAACGAAGCTCCAAAGGAGGCGTGTTGTGACGACGATCTGCTCCTTGGGGCATTTCAAACATCTGTGACTCAAATGCCCTTACAATTGCCACTTATCAACCCGACATCGAATAATCTAATGGAGAACGCTATCTTAGCAGACACTGTCCCTACGGATCTAACAACGGTCGATGAATCAAAGTCAGTCAGTTACATAGCTCTAAAACAAAGTACGCCGTTTCCGATAGAAATAGAGCGGCCGCCATCCCTTGACGGTTCGAACTCCATTTCTAAGGAGCAGCTGCAGACTGTTGAATATAGTGAAAGCGATGAATATCCTTTGAAGCTCCAGCAAATAACAGTAGAGTCAAACAATAATGAAAACGCAATCCGAACGAAGGAACCATCGATGATTGATTTGGGTAGTATCAGTAACGATATCATTAGTCCAAACGATACCATAGATAACGATATTGTTACAAGAAAGGCTGCTGATACAGGCAGTGGTGCGATAGTAGCCCCTATAGCGATGAGTAACGTTCCTGTGAGCTCGACAGATGTTACTGGTTTTCTAGAGTACGCTGGAATTTCGCCGGAAGGTTTGCAGGCTGACTCATCGTATCTCGAGTCACTGGCCAATAATGCCAACGAGCACGATCAAATGGGCATTGTTGAGACGATCAACAGCTCTGTGACTCATTGTTGTAATAACGCTGAAATAATTAATTTCAAAGCTATCGACACTAACAATGTATCCACTCTAAACCCGGATAAAAGCAACCAAAGGATTCTTGATGGGCAAGAGATTTCCACACCGAACAACGAATTGACAAACCCGGCAATTAATGAAATTTTCTCCTCGGATACGACATACAAAGTTCTAGAAGATACTGCGAGTCTACTCCAAAAGGAATACGGTGAAATGGTTAGGGCAGATAAAGAACCTGAAAGTGGTTTGCCATGTAACTTAGGACAGAGCAGTGATCTAAACAATGTTGGACAGAAGGCTTGCGCCGACACATGTGATCAAGCGAGCCTATTAGGTTGTCAAAAATTATCTATGAATCTAGTTCCACATACAGATACTAGTACAGCGTCTGTGACCACGATAAATGAAATCGCAATGCGTTTAGAGGACGATAGACAGAAGGAAAAACAAAGTGGTGTAAGAGCATCTGTCAAGGAATTTCTTACTTTGGGACTTCACGAAAATTCTGACAATAATAAGAGTCTCTACCAGGATACAGCAGATGCCCGTGAGCAAGCCAAAGGGAGCAATATCGAACACCAGATAACAGCAAAATCATGTGAAAGTATAAAACCAATCGAACAGCGGCCGTCCGGATCATCAGAGCCGTCTATAGACATCCACATTGCGAGATTGGAACCATCTCTAGATCCTATGAACGAGTTTACTCGTCTAGATGAAGCGACTAAACAAGCAGAGGAGCAAGCATCCGGTGCCAAAACGTCTCTTGACAAACCACCTTCAAAACTTCTACACCGAGAAAAAAACTCTTTTCCGCAAACTTTTCGAAAACAAATTGCTAAGCCGAAATGCATGGATCAACGTGAAAACTCATGTGGAAAAATTGAGCGGCCCTCAAAGATGTTTCGTGAACACAGTATGTCTCCGATACAGTTTCAAAGGGCTAGAACGCCAGCTGACTCCTTAGACACTACCGCCGATTCGATTTCTCCTGATAACAGTTTAATTCAGGATATCACTTATGATATCGTCAACAAAGAACGAATACAGCCTATGAAGAGTAAAAAGTTCACATTTGGCTTGGAAATTCCCACAACCGAGCCTTTGACAGTGGTTTCAACAACTTTCGAAACAAGTCCCATTGCGCCTGAAATGGCGTTGAACGCTTCGTACACCGTGGAGAAGAATGTCTCCGAGGAGTCTCTACCTCTGACATCGGAGCTGGAAGAAGACCACCCACGAAGCCCATCGGTTCAGCTCAGCGTGAGTTTGCTTACCCCAAGCAACTTTGAGGAACCAGTTAAACCCGTACTGATGGATCTGTCGACGCTCATCAGTACCTCAATGGAAAGTGGGCAGCAAATAGTGAAATGCGTGGAGTCGGAGCTGATGAGCTTTGTTTACCTTGTCGACGATCAAACGGTCGTCGCGCTCGACAAGGTAACGTCGTTCTAGGCCATACATACATACATACATACATTTATATATATATATGTGTCCACCACAACAATGAACATCATTCATCTCGTCCCATCAACGACATTTGCATATGAATTTTACAGTAGATGTGATGCGTGTCCGTAATCAATCGGCGTCTACATCATGTTCATTTTAACGTTATTGTTTTTGTAAATCGGAAATATGTAGGCTCTCCAAGAACTGCCAGCTGGTGCCTGTCGGATAACTCTGTCGTATCGAGTTGAGCCTTTGGATGGACCGGATACACTACCATTAGACGCGCGTAACTTGTGCACGCGTTCCCCGTGGCTAGAAGCTTCGTCAAGTAGCCTGTCAGCAAATACGGTTGGATCTCCTTCATCGTGTTTGAGCGGTCGCCATGGTCAAAAACCGGCAGCGATCGTATCGCCAATGAAACCAGCGATGATTTCTAGGCTGAGTCAAACTGAGGTGCTACATGGCGATGCCTTGGAGGGCTACAGATTGGTGTGTCTTCACATTGTGATTTTTCGTTGAAAACCAATCATCTACGCAGAAACCTATAGTCGTATAATTAGCTTGACTCTCATGACTGTTTATATGGATAAAATATAACGTACACATATAATAGAGTTATTATGACAAAAACAAATTTTTCACAATTTATATTAACCACCATTGCAAGATGAGTTTACCCTGGACCGTTATAATAGCCTGACCGTCAGCAGCTTATAGCAATGGATAAAACGGAGAAAAGTCAGTTTGATACTATACTCAACATATATTCGTTACGTTAATCCGTCTACGCAGATGCCTACCCGATCCTCTTCGAACGTAGTGGATAACCTTCGACTGGCGCTTACCACATATGCGGAGGTGGTCACAGTACTAAAAAGGCGCTTTGATGATTTCAGTAAGAATAATTCGCGTTCGACTGAAGCGCTTGCCAAAGAGTTGCTAACAGAGAAAACACGAAATCACAAGGTAAAACAGGGCATTCGGCCTAGGCCACTTCGTTCTGCCTCTAGGGCGATAGGAGAAGAAGGCGCCTTCTTCACGACCGTCTACATGCTTGCGTAGCTATCAGACGATGAAAACCATACGCGCCCCCTATCGTGTGCTAGTAATAGTGCTACTACTAGTAATGATAATAACAATGATAAAAATCAGAGCGCATTTTCAGTCGTCGATTGCTTGATTAAATTTCCGTCATATATTATGGTCTCCCTCCTTATAGTTGGAACAGAGCGTAAGTAACTTGGAACGTACAATTCAGTCTACAATGTCGCGTATGGGGGAAATTCGCTCAGCGAACAGCGAACTTCGTGAGATTGTCCAGTCGCAACTGGATATGCTTACAGAATACAAAGTACGTATGGCATCGTTCTCTGCTTTGAAAAGCACCTACCACTTCGTATCAGGTTAATGCGGGCTTACCATCTTGGATTATCGTACGTAACTGTACTTAGTCGCTAACCCAGGCGTATTCTTTTATCATTTTATTTCGCTCTTAGACGCAGATTGAGGACCTAACGTTTGAAAAGGATCAACTGATAACCGGCAAACGAGAACTCGAGGAGGCTACTGAAGATACCTTGAGGTTAGATAACTTGCGGTTTGAACGTATATGTGCAACACGAACATCACCAAAAAGTATTTACTGATGAATTAGACTACTGAAAATATACAGGCAAATTCGTCGGCCGTCCTGTCAATAAATGGCCCATAGTTGAAGCCAGTAGCGGTAGTGCTACAAATTGAGCGTGACTTCGGTTTGAGTAAGCTTTTTGAAGTTTGTCCTTGTGGAATTACCGTTCGCACCTGATGAAGCGTGGTGCCTAGACTAGATATGAGTTTATTAATACGAAAACCAAATAATTACAGAAGTCAATCCCGCGGAAACAGTTTAGCCGACAAGATCAAGTCATGTTTCTTTATAGCGCGGTCGCACGGAGTAAACTTAGTGTGGCTAACGGCCAAGCCTAATAGTTAAAAGCAGATAGCTCATAGAAAAACCGGCGCCACTCATTAGGGTCACCAGTATTTACGACGTCACGAAACATAGATATATAAGGGAAATAATATTCAGCCACGTTTACGGTGAGGCGTGAAATAGTGTATACGTTGCCTTATTTACATATTAGGAACCCAGTCGTATTTAACTGGCTACGGAAACAATCACGGATATGATCTTTTTCTTCGTCGCGTAAAGCAGTTAGTCTGTAAAAAACAGGATACGATCGTTGATGCAATTACGAAGCATCGACTTCGGATCTTTGAAGTTAACGAAACGAAGTTAAGAAACTTCTAATTGATTTTTCGGCCCAGGCGAGAGAGGTGCTCACTGGATAAGCAAGCTGCTCTTCTGCGGGCCCAGATGGAAATGAAGAACATGGAAATAGAGAGATTACAGCAAGAAGCACGCATTATGGTGAGGATGCTTCTGATACAGTCGAGCGCACGCATGGACGGTGCTTTCCCTAATATTCTATTATACATAGATCTTCCACATCCACGACAGACACATGGAAGAAATGTCTCTAATAGTTCTACTGTTTATTTCAGCGCGAACAGCTCAGCAGTTGCCAAAAAGTGATCAATGATCTTCAACAGTACTAGAACTCTAAGACTGCGCTGGAATGGCAAGCAAAATCAATTGTACCATAGTTTCATGCCGCAGATCGAAATGACACAGATAAAGCATGTAAGTATTTCAATCGGTGTACTAGAAAGTGTTTTTTATTTTACGATTTCCACTGCAAGTTCTGTTTATTTGTAACAGCTGCTGTGTGAGGGATTATATTAGCTTGTCTGTATAGAGTAATAATAGTGTATGTATATATACACAGCCCCATGTCTATATATCCAGAGCACAAACACATAATGTTGTTCGTTATGAATCTGAGTATATGGGTGTTGCTAGCAAGTTTATAGTTTACGTGAAACAAACATGGACGTCCCGAGGGAAAGAAGCTTATTTACAATTAAATCCTCGTTCCGATTCTCAGAACTGAGTAAAAGCTCAACGAATCATACCTGTCATTTAAAGGCGACAAAAAAAATTACATTTTATTCTATCGTCGTTTACCACTAAATCGAACCGACTGAGGAAAATAATTACGAATCGTTTTACGCTAACTGTTATAAAAATTGAGATCCTAACATTATAGATCGTAGGTATGAAGTGGTTTGCCGTGTCCTTCACGTTCGTCGATTGCCGCAGAGCTCACTCAAGACATCATCAAAGATGTCCGGCTACTTCTTCTACTGGCTATTTATCCACAAAACAACAGTGCAGTCAAACATAATTAGTATATAATATGATATTCTTTTTTGTTATTTTATTTCTGTTATCAAAATGATCCAGGGTATATTTAGTGGCGATTTTTCGTCGGTAATGTGTATGTATATAGGTGTGTATCTACACGGAGCACATCGAATGTGGCCAAATGCACATTTGCTGCTATATACAATATATAGGAATACATTATACGTACTGATAGACACGGACCCCCCCCCCCCCCGCCGCAGATATACAAAATAGTACACGGAATATAATGTGTGCTTCGTATCCATAAATCGTAACTTTGCAATCAGACAATTGGATTTCCTTTTAAAGTAGTAGTTTTTTTTACTGCATACAGTCAGATTTGTCCGCCTTTAGGAATTAGGTAAAGTGCAATAGAGCTTCTAATAAATATAGATCTTCAAGTTTGGACGTCTTTAATTCTGCTTTGCGAAGTAACACTACTAACCCCATAGTAAATCATTGACGAACCGTAACTGACTCTACCTGTCCAGAATCCTCACGTTGTCTCAATAAAAGCATTCTTTCCCAATTTTTGAATTTTCTGTTGCGTTTCACCACACACACGTGGTGGCCGTTCATCTTTGCTCAGAATTCTATTACATAGCGTTGAAGTATGAGTGTAATTACCTGTACTATTGCACAGAGTGTATGTACATCGATCATCAGGCATTTGTTTATTATTGTCGTGATGGGGGTCGCGCTGCACATCTCGCATATCAGACTCGTAGCGTCTATGCAAGGCGTACGGAATGGCTAACCACACATTTTGGCCACTCCAAAATGTAGCCCCACTGTACGGCTTCCTCTATTTTTTTTTTGTTACGATATATTGTACAGCTTTCATTCTGGTCAAATGCAGTAGTATCAGGCTAAGACGAGTGTGACTGTCAGCATCAATGGTACATGCATTTCTATTCGATGTTTCGTAGTGGATATAGGTGGGCTTTGAATAAGGACACCGACTGAATAAGAGGTCATCGGCTCGTAATTGTCCTATGATACAAATATTTTATGGTCCCTGGAAGAAACGGGCCTGAAGACTCCTAGTTCGTTGTATACTTTCACATAGTAATGATAGATTATAGAGGAAGGTGCCTCTGACAGTACATGGTGATAAGTTTATACGTTGAGGAATTATCTCGTTTATGGTTGTTGCCGCCGTGCCCAACCCTTGCATTTGTATAGAATCCTCTTAATAAACAGTCTACATTTTTCATTATTCGTAGATTGTTAATGTTACTAACGTGTATGAACAACCCGACGTGTGAAGCTGCAGACAAAAACTGTCGAGTTGAAAATATAGCCTAATCTTTCTATTCGACAAGGTATCCTCTGATCGATCAAATTCGTCCCTCAGAAACGTCGTATACTTATATTAGAAACTTGTGAGGTCCACTGCCCTTGCTCTGATTATGCCTTTCACAAATGCACCATCAGAAACGATAACCAAGGCTGTAACCACGACACGTAAAACGTCTATGTGTCTAATAGTATCGTTGGGACGAACTATCAGAACAGATCAGTTAGATCTATATATATAATATTGCATCGATAGGCACCGGTGTATCAAACAAATCGGCCTTCGTTTGTGATGCCGAGGTGCTTGCCTTTTGCGACGTCTGTACCCGATTGGCTGCACTTGTAACAGGCGCGTGTTTCGCGTCAAGGTTCAATCAGCGTGAACATTTTGAGTAATAAATAAGAGCGCTATGCAAAAAAAATGTAATAGGCTAGTAGTGGTATTCGTTTCGTTCCGTGCATCGCTTCTTCATCTCGCCTTTATTTATCTATTTGAAACGGTTTCATACTGATTTTAGGAAGATTACCAGCGTGGCGTTGGTCATCCACGAAATCATATGTTTTTTTCTTAGCCTCCTCTGCTCGGTTTAATTCTATTAAGTTATCCATTATGACCTATAGATGCGATGTACTTTAATCCAAATAGCGAACCATTAAACCTAGTTAGTGTCGAGTCAGAACTACGACGCAGGATCAATGGGCGGACTGCTATTGCTTGTACTTCGAGTGTTTTCACGTTCGTTTGGTGATGTCCTACGGGGCGACAAAGAGGCCGGTGGTGGTGGTGGTGAGTGGCCTACGAATAGTCCTGGCGGTGGGCGCGGAAGAAACATGTTTCCGACACTTCCCGGAACGAATTTCGGCATTACAGGAGGTGATGGTGTAAACATTCGGGGCGAAACCACTCCTGAAGCGGCTGTCGACGCCTGCAGGAACTGCATCTGTTGAGCTGCTAAAAGAGCTGCAGGCAATCCGCCAGCAGGTCCTCCGAGCATTTGGCGATTCTGACTTTGTTGTTGCTGTTGCTGCATAAGAGCGTGAAGTTCAGCTACAGCGCCTGCTTGAGCCTGTAGCTGTTGTCCAATGGTCTGGCCTACGGTAGCAGCGGCGGCTAACTTGGCCCAGGGTGAATTGGCTGCGGCGGCCTGAAGAAGCAGTATCTCCGAGGAGGTGGGCATCCGACCCAAAGCTGTAAATGGACACCACAAATGACCAGATGTGACTGATATAGTCTCGTACAAAGCTTTCCCTTTTCATGAATAAATCAATTATCTAAGGCTTAGGAGCGAAACCAAAACAACTTCCTTTCGAACTTCAAAAGCAAAAACCTTTCTGCTATTATACGCCAAATCAACACTGTCTTGCAATGTATCTGCGTGGATGAATTCTTCATTGACTAAGGAGGGCCGGCAGTTCCTTCGCAATACCTATTTGTCCAACAACATAGAGCAAGAGCGTCCGAAAGAACCATCTACTGACTTCGACATTGCAACTTCGAGTCCTGTCGAAGAATCCTTATGGTACTTATGGCAAATAGTTTTACCTGAGGTTGTAGCAAGCAGTTGTTGCTCGGGCGTAGGTGGCGGGAGTTCTCCATTAATGACCGCCCTGGCGAAAGGCGTGTTCAGATGTTTCAGTGCGTGTTCGCGTAAAAGAGTTTCAACGGACTCGCCCTCCAGATCGGTTAGCCGAGAGGAATCCCGGAAACCTTTGGCGAATGGGTTCGAGTCAATTTTTAATTTAGTTATCTGTAAATCCCACAGTATACAGAGACATACTATATATGATTATACTCGTATGTACCTAAAATTTCGAATGGAGCACTATGAAAAGATACTTAGAAATACTACATCTCTCTAGGAACGCCTAATTCTCTATTCGGAAAACAATTAGTATAAGTTTCGCTTTTTGTCTAATAATCATTGACTGACTAGTTGGTTTTGATAGGCAGTGACGGCGGTGAACGTTGTCTCTGGAAAGACAAACATCTTGTATTCTTCCTTGTCGAGGCTGTTAAACGTGGGTGGGTTCGATGCATAGCAGTAGTCGGGCCGCAGCTTGACCAGGTGTATTCTCGGCTGATACTTATGCATGGAGTTCAAAACAATATGGCCCTGTTTGTCCATCTCGTTGTTTGTTAATTTCACCTTTTCAAACGACACGACCTACGATCGTTTCAGTACACACAAACATGCCGGAATAGATAAACAAAATGTTATCACATCCCTGTCTATAGTAAACGCAAGCAGATATAGAGGTATGATTGTAGCTAAACTATTAACAATCTTAGTATGTCTGTTATTATTATGGTGCTTAATAGTGTTTATGAGTAGCGCAAATAATTGTGAGCATCCATCTGTATCGTTTAATTCGCATAGCCGACCTGTTTTCGCAATTGGTCTCCGTGATAAGGCGAATCAGGATGTTGGTAGAGGACGTTTGCGCACGCCGGATCGGCTTTTCCTGCTACGAGCCAGCACGAACGATGATAGGCGTAGCGATATCGTTTGTTGTCGCAGGGAACAATGTCCATAAGAACGGCGTATCGCTGTTGTGGATGCAGACCGGTAAAGGAGACCCGCACGGTCGGAAACATTCGTCTGTTTAATGGAATGGAAGAATATGATTACTAGTTATGTTCTACGTCTATACACTCCGAGTAGATCGTTCGTCGCTATATCTGCTTACGTATCATATCACTTTACCTACTGCCTATCATCATGCCTTCCTACTGCGTTGTGATGGCAGTGTACCAGGCTGCGTCCTACCTATTCGTTTTCTTAAAAGCCAGAAATTATTTATTAGTAAATAAAGTGCATATACATTGTTATCTATATGCAATAGTTTTTATTTCTATTTCAAATAATAGGATATATACGTATAATTCGTTTTCGAAAGTACTTAAATTTAAAAAAAAATCGATGATACCTTTCAGCTGTGCGGATTGAAAACCGTTTCTTTCAGTCCCTTATACAAATAAAACTTCGGGCTTCTAGAATTATGGCGGTCCATTGAAGTTTATTTTACGTTATCATGCCTACTACGCTGACACTATCTTTAAATAAAAATTGTATTAAATTTTCTACCCTAATACTATGTTATAAAAATGTAATGCCTGAAGCCGTGGTGGTCCGTAGCATGATTATATATTGACGACTACGACCTATAGCAGCGTTTCTGAGGAAGCAATTATTAACTTTCCACCAATCCAGCATTTGGTGTTACGCTAGCGTCTGGTTTTTTATACGTATCGAAGCACCGCGAATACGCTGAGACGAATTTAATAATTAGTTTTCCTTCTATCGTTGTTTAATTCCACCTCATTTCCGCCCGCTTTTGGCAATACGCCCATCTAGAAAACGCTATAAATGGCGACCATCGAACAGCTTTTACCTCATAGAGCCTCTACTGTTTCACGAGACCTTCTTTGTCCTAGCTGGGGTAATAGGCCGCTATAATCGCCACCGCAGAAAGCGCAGCCGCTCGCCTATGGCCCATATGTTCTATACTTATGAGACTATTTCATAGTATCCAGACGGCCAGTCGAACCGTTCTTCGCTGAAATCGGTTTTAGGGACTGGAAGGAGAAGTCTCGCCGGTTCGGGACTCCACGAAGGGCTTATAATTTGATTTTAAAGTCTACTCTGCACTACAAGCACTTCCTTTCTTTGCTAGCAAAGGAATGAACCCTGTACCGTAGCCGCCAGTCGTCGTGCCCGACCTGTGCCTAACTGTAGATTCAGCCTCGGTAGAAGCTCTCTCTTTTCCCCTTAGTAACAGACATCGTGCTGGGCACACAGTGCAAAGACCACCGCTACATAAGGCCCGCTACTGTACTACTAGTACCTTTTCGGCTAAATTGAGAGAGGACAGGATCTCTTCGGAGAAACAAGCCTGCCGTCTGGATGGCCTAATAATCCCCAACTAAGGCGGTAACCAGCATGCCGCCGCAACAGAAGCGTTGCTGGTAGTTGGTTACCCCATTCATTACACTACGCTACCCTCCTTCTCGGTTCTTGCACGCTTGGCTCCTCCACTATTCGCCCTTTAGGCCCTATGCTTTTCGCTCCCTCTTAACTGCTGATCCTGCCGCCGGTCGATATTGGGGTGGTAGCCCAAGCGATAGTAAGGGTACAAGTAGGCTCTTGTTACATCAACCATAGGCGCGTTATGCGTCGGCTGTATTACCACCGTCTGGTCGGCTGATGTCTGCTTCCTGATGACCTCTACTTGCGCCTGATTTGTGCTCTGCTGCTGCTAGCGGCCTTTGAGCCGATCCTGAACCTCTCTAGCTAGGTCTACCCGGTCGTCTACCTCGTGCCGCCCCTTGCGCTTCGAAGCTTTCAGAGGGCTGCAATATGTGCTATTGCGCATCATGCGGAACATCGCGCTCGGCAGCGTCCGATGAGGAACACTATAATCACTACTATGTACGTCATAATCGTAATTAGTATTTTAATATCGTCGTCGTTACTCGCCGATCGGGTGAAGCGACAGTGGAGAGACATCGAGAGCCACCCAGGGAAAACGTCGTTTCGCCAATTAGATAATGAAAGCAAACAATGGCTGCCGCTGCTGGCTTTTTTGTGTTTCGAAGACTGATATTCTAATAGTTAGAAAGGCACAGCAGCCCACAATCGAGCAAAACGGAAAATATAGGCAATGTGAAGGAGTAAAATTTAAGTTTATCTATTTGCTCGCTTTTGTAGAAGTTCAACTTTAGTCGTTTGCCGGTAGAATTGCAAAGCTAGTAACTAGTGACCGGCTAGTCCTTGCATCGTTGGTACCCGTCGGAACTAAATTGTGGGTAAACATGGTTAAAATAGTATAATAATTTTTAAGCCGAAATATTTTCAAAAAAAAAGCTACTTCTTTTTGAAGCTTAAGTGTAGAGTTGTCGAACACCTGCATCCATACCAAAAATTTCGACTAAAAAAATAAAAATGTAAAATACAAAAAAAAATATTAGCAGATTTTGGTAATCGTCGGAGCACGTAGATCTGGCGTTTTTACTGGAATTGCCCCATCTACGACAGATTCTGTATGTGAAACAAACAAACCGCTATTACCAGAATGGAAATCATGTGAAACTGCTCATGTCCCGATACACTCAATAATGCAATAAATCGATTTTCACCAACAAGCCTCCCTTCGCTAGTCTCTGTACGAGTTTGCTAGAGCGCACTGATGCCGTGCGAACAACTTTCATGATCGACAGCTATTGACCCTCGTTGCCCCTTCTACCTTTATGACTGCGGCCAACCCCTATTAGTGCACCCCTCCGAAGCCATTAACAGGCTTGGATGGCATGCGAGGTGTTTCTAATTCATACGTAGCAGCGTTCATGTATGCAGATGCTGTCGTTTGTATTTTTGAATCTCACACGCTCGCGTATCCATTTTCATTCAAAAGTCGATAGCGTCGGGCAGGAAACACTGGCGAGACAGTTTACACCGACAACTTACGCTGTGTCTGACTCGTGTAACATTCTAACTCGGCTTTTTTGTTTCGCCCGCTTTTTCGAGTAATATTAAAATCACAGTACAGATCTCACGGTGCGGGTCATCAGCGACTAAAAATTCAAATTTTGTCCAGTAGGATCTAGAACAGGACCGGTACTCGGAAGTAACGAGTGACAGCAAAGTTTGCTCACCACGAGGCAAAGCTGGCCTCGTTTACGATGCCGACCTCTCGAACGATATCATCTATAACCTTGCTTCGAATTTATTTGGGACAATTAATGACTCATCGAGCTACGCTAACAACGTATCTACATCAAGACTGACCAAGGGCGGGACAGAAAAGAGACTCCAAAGAAATTTCAGGGTAAAGGACTGTGAGCATAAAGTATTTTCACAGGTTTTTCGTGCCACAACTTTAACTAGGGATAGCGCAGTAGCTTTGTGCATACATGTTGTTTGACTCTCCGCGAGAGTCTCGGTTTTTTATACGCAATAACATAATATATCATGTAAAGCTGGTGCTATGTCAAAAGAATAGAATAATATGCCGCTCCTGGTTATATTGTGTCCGCGCTATAGACATTATTTTTTGTGAAGAAAATAGGTTTTTAAGAGAGTTTAGTAGAACTTTTACGTATAATCAGCACTACCCGGGCAAGTGTGTTATGCAGTTTAGATGTGGGGTTCATTCTTCGCGGCTGGACTTGCTTTCGCCCAGACCACTGCCCAAGACTTCTCGATTCACTCTAAAGCTTGAAGAGAGATTTGAGTGTCAAAAAGTTTCGCCTGATGTTTTCCAGTTACCATCTTATTTAACTGGTGACTTAATCGCCTAACCGATAATCGCCTATTGGCTTTCTATTCAAGAAACGGGTGGGCACCTGTTACGATCATCCTTGTAATTGTCCTCGGTGCCTCATACTCTAGGTCGAGTTCGGGTAGCTTGAATACGACAGGTTGGCCAAATAAACAGGTAGATTCAGAGCCGATGCAGAGATGGACCTCCTGGCTAGACACTCCTGATTCCGTTTCTCGTTCATGTTGATGGAGCTGTTGTTGCTGTCATCATCCGTGCGACGGTACGGATTTTTCATGTGTGTGCCTTTACATGTGTATAGAGGGAATCTTGCGTGTGTTGCTGTCATTGTCAACTCCGATTCGTGTTCTACAATACGACAGATATAGGTGTGGTACTCCAGCTGGCGCCACTACTATTGTTTTTCTCTTTTGAACTGAATTAAAATAAGAATAAAAAGATGCTAATAAGATGGAAACCTGCCGTGTCCACCGGCAAATACGGGAAGTGTCTGATGCTACTGCCATTGCTGCTTGCAATTCGTACCCCGTCGCGCATTCTTATGACAAGTGGTTGTAGCAGTGATGATGGCCGCAGTGTATTTCTTCATTTGCTTAATGACTGCATTCGAAGCCCTGACAAAAGCCTTCACCAGCGGCTGAGCGTTTTCTCAGCGTCACAGTTTGTTCGACGATTACTGCTAGTAGTGGCTGACCATAAGTGAAATCAGGCGACGGAACAACCGGCCGATTCGATAAAGCTTGTAATTCTCATCATCGTTGTGTTCGTCGTCACGGCTGCTATGGCAGAATTATGAACGATTAAATGCAAAGCAGACGACGGTTTTGCGTGAGCAAGCCGTAATCCACTCCATTATCACGCCAGCGCGCTTAAAAAATGAAATGCGCCAAGCCGTTGTTGGAACAATGACGGCGTCAGAATATCGTTATAGTAGAGGAAGGATCGGGAACTGAAGAGACAGGTTGACTGGCCTATGCCGCCTAGCTAGCCTACCTGTAGCTAGTAACAACGGTGAATGATTCAGCTTTGTTCGGCCCGGAATATTCCGGCTTGCTCAAGACACAAGTGGCGCAAATTTGAAAAATGACATGCGGTATTTGCTGCTGCCGCACCCCCGCCGACATCGTGCCGCACGGTCGACGAGGCGTAGCTGGACACGCACACTACCGTGATGTCGTGCACATACGGCACTAACATTACTTTGCGCGTAGCGAGTGGAATAGAATAAATCACAGACACACACACACAATTTCATACATAGCTAGACATATACGATGATGGCGAAAATGACGATCCGGCCTCTGGTTACGGAGGTGATCTT